GCGGCCCGGGTTCGGATCCCGGGCGCGCACCGACGCACCGCTTCTCCGGCCATGCTGAGGCCGCGTCCCACATACAGCAACTAGAAGGATGTGCAGCCATGACATACAACTATCTACTGGGGCTTTGGGGGAAAAAATAAATAAATAAAATCTTTAAAAAAAATAATAATAATAATAACCACCATGTAGAATGACCAAATTCCATGACTAACATTATTTTTCTTCTCATAGACATTTTCCTTCTGCCTCCTTCAACACATGACCAACCAACTACAGACCCTGGGTCAATAAGCAGAGGGAAAAAACCTCAGAAGGATCTGATCTAACAGGGCTTAGCAGGTACTGTGGTAGGAGATAAGTCAGAGAACATATTTAAATCAGGGTGAAGATGTTTAAAACTATATTTCAGGCCAATAAAAATTAGCTACCCATTTTATAAAGAAGAAAGAGCACAGAGACTAAAGATGATTATCAGAGGATAGATCAGAAATGGGGTAGAGATGGATAGATCTCTAAGCACCTAGGAAAAGGCCTTTTTATTTTTTGAACAATGGTGTTCTAGTGTCTAAGCAGAGTTGGTCAAATTTAAATCTTAATCTTGGATTGCAATTTAAGTTACATATAGTTTGGATGAATATCAAATGAAGACCATATTATCATCTCTGCAAAGACTGAATACTTCTTATTGAGTCATTCATCACACTCCATTTTTCACTTTTCTATTTTCACGTGAGTTTGCCTACAAGCATAAGTTTTTAAAAGTTTCTTCAAGTCAATAAAAAAAGATAAACTTTTACAAATAATATGTACATTAAATATGCATATTTAAAATTTTTCTTAGACAACTTAATAGCAATAAAATAACCCAGTAGTGTGGGCAGGAAGTGCTACATTACTTCTCTTCAGTTTAAAACCTTAAAAGGAACTTGTACAGCCCACATAATTGTAGTGGCCACTCACTACAGGGAGTTGTCCATTACAGCAGAAAATGCTAGTAGCAGTTCTCTCTCCATTTGAGAGCTGCCTGCCAGGAGGGAACACCAACTCTCTCCAATCATCCCTAACTGTTTGAAGATGGACTGAGAAGGGACAGAAGCTGTTTCAGGCAAAGAGAGAACTTCGATGGAGAAAGAATATACTTCCCTTTCGCTACTTTTAAAAAAATTTTCATATTTAGAGTGCAATGGTAAACCATGGAGAGATCACACAAACCTCACACTTTATGCAAGAATAGTGGAACCGTTTGTACAAAGGAACTGAGGCTTCTGCCTGGTTGAGGGAGGAAGCTGGGGCAGGCATGGACCGGGCTACTCCATCTCTAGCGACTACTAGAACCTGGGAACAGAGCCAGCCCAGGCTGTGCAGCTGCTGCAGGAGCCTCAACTTCCCGACGGCAGGACCACGACCAACCCCACCCTTGGGCTTCCACACTCCGTGCAAGCTCCACGGAGGCCAAAAGAAGAAAGGAATGACACCACAAGAAAGAAGGAGCGACACCACAAGAAAGAGAATCTTGGTAACTACGAAGGCTGCCTGCTTGAAGGTTCAGCTCATCTTGTTTAGCAGTATGAGACGTTCCTCAGGAAGGTACATATCCATGCAGAAACAACAGGAAAACAGCTATACCAAACAAACCCATTTCAATTTTAAAAAATATTTTTAGCAGAAATTTCCTGTCACATGATTACATTTCTACCACACAGGAGAATTTCATTCCTCTTTGAAAGAATCAATTTCTCATTAATACACACTCTCGAGTATTGGAGGGAAAAAGAGTAGCTTAATATCATTAACAACAACAACAAAATCCACGCCTATCTCTACAATGTTGTCTTATATGGAAACACAAGTAATGAGCACTCCCCTGAACTTTGCTAAAAGAAGACAACTGGGATGGTGAGGATTTGTTTGTTTGAACAGAATAGTGCTCCATGCAGCACTAGAAAAGGATTGGTGGTAAACATTTCTTAGCTTTGTTCACACCAAAAATGGAAGAAACAAAAGAAAACTTGATTTCTTTCTCTGCATTCCATCCCTCAGTGACTGAATTTTCAAACTTTTCTAATGTTAGTAAGGATGAGTCAGAGAAAGAGAACTATTAAATAAATTTGTATTTTGCTAACCCAGAAGCCGCCTCCGGGAAGAGCCAAAAACCACGAATATAGTTCATATTTTAATGTTAAAGTTGAAAAATAATGTAAACCTTATTCTTAACTTTAAAACAAAACCAAACTCTACCACTTTTATGTCCCTCGGCTGTACTATAAAAGGACCCACACACACTGAAAAAAAAACAGGAGAAAGATACACCAGAAAATGAAACCACTTACCTTGGTCAGTGGACATGATTTCACATATGATAATTAGTCTACTTTGGTTTGATAAAAAAAAATTTGGCTCTATTCTTCTAAAGTTCATGTGACAAATCTCACTCCTGGCTTTAAAGCCTCTGGTAGACTGGAGATCACAGAGATCAGCCAGGAGCTCTGATCGGTGCACTGTTTACTTCAAGGCATTCTTAGACCTTACTGCTCAAAGACAACCTCATGCATAATATGCCACACCTCCCAGAGGAAGGGCTGCTACAGTGTTTTTCACAAGACCAAGTATATGAGGATGGAGAGACTTCTATTTATTACGGTAAAATAAACAACAACGGAGGCACATGGAAGCTCAAATGCACCAGAAATACATTTGGGAATAGGATGGTTTATAAACTAATTCCTTAACGATTAGTAATGCTCTAAAAAAGCCAACATGAAAACAGTTTGTTTCCACTTTAACTGGGTCCATGCCCTGGACCAAAGAGATTACAGATGTAGGAGTCACAGGCTGAAGATGTTAAAACGTTAATTTGAATTATCTCAAATGCTATCTTGCCACTTACGACTTTCCATTTTAGCAGCGCTCATTGATCTTGGTGAATAAATAGTGCAGACTGAATAAATACTACTCATAAATTTTCTAAGGAAACCAAGTTTCATATGGTATTTCAGAACACTGTTTGGTAAAATATTTATTACTCATTTTTATATATCTTTACAAGCTTATATCATTTAATCAGTACTGTAAAAATGTCTCATAGCCCGAAAAACTAGAAAATGTCAATTAAAATATTTATAAAATCACGATGAAGTAACAGGCTAGCGAAGCACCCTCCTGGTTGAAGATAACCCCTGCCATCCTCCACTGTGTCCAGATGCAGCAGTTCTCACACTGTAGTGTGCATCAGGTCACCTGGGCGGCGTTTGAAAACGCACAGTGCCTGGTTCCATCTCCAGAGTTGAATTCAACCAGTCTGTGGAGGAGCCCCAGAATTTGCATTTCTAACAAGCTCCCAGGTGACGCTGACACTGCTGGTCTGGGACTGCACTTCAGGGACCACACTTGGAGAACCATCGGGGCAGTGACTTCCTGTCTGGAGTCTCGACACACTCACTGACGGCCTAAAGCTCTGGCTCAACTGCACCTGCTTGTTAGTTGTCATACAGTGACAGCTGCATGTTGCTGTGATGCTGAAAGCTACGCCACCGGTATTTCAAATACCAGCAGGGTCACCCATGGCGGACAGGTTTCAGCGGAGCTTCCAGACTAAGACAGACTAGGAAGAAGGACCTGGCCACCCACTTCCGAAAAAAAAATTGGCCAAGAAAACCCCTTGCATAGCAGTGCAGCATTGTCTGATATAGCACCAGAAGGTGAGAGGATGGCAAAAAAGACAGGGCAGGGTTCTGCTGTTGTATACAGGGCCACTAGGAGTCAGAACAGACTCGATGGCACTAACAATGAAAAGGAATTGCTGAGCCAGCCCTGATGGCCTAGTAGTTAAAGTTCCACTCTTCTTCAGCAGCCCAGGTTCGGTTCCCAGGTGCTAAACCACACCACCTGTCCGTCAGTGGCCATGCTGTGGTGGTGGCTCACATAGAACTATAAAGACTTACAACTGGAATATACAACTATGTACCATGGCTTTCGGGAGGGAAAAAAAAGAGAGAGAGAGAGGAAGATTGGCAACAGATGTTAGCTCAGGGTGACTGTTTCCCAGCAAAAAAAAAAAAAAAAAAGAATTGCTTAATGTCAGGGCAGGGGGGCAAGGCTCAGGATGAGATATGAGGGACTCACATATACATTCAAATGGGACTTACAGAACTTCTACCTGCTCATCAGGAAGTGGGAGTTATCGACCTGATAACTCTTAATAAAAGAAATTTGCTTGCATATTAGGCATGAATGGGTTTTATAACTAGTCTAAAAAGAATAGACAATTAAAACACAGAGAAAAGGAGTCAAAGAAACAGAAGAAACCTGAATTGTCTATTTCCTTCACAAACTCCACCCATGTGTTTAAATTTCACCGTAGCAGGAAAACTGTTTAGATTTGATTCCAAGACCACTAAGCCTTGGCAAATTTCAGTAATGTAAAAAACAGAATGTTTCTCTGTCATAAAAATGCCCCAACTTCTGTGGTTCCTAAGCTTTGATAGCAATGTTTAAATTACAATCTCAGGTTTGGTTTTCAAACAAATACCTTTTCTTTTTTTGTAGCTAAAATTTACTTAGTGCCAGGTGCTGTTAACCACTTTCCATGCAGCATTAAATCCTCACTTTAAGGTAATAATAATGTATCACTATTTTACAGAAGACAGTCACTCTTCTGCAAAAAGATTAATACAGGTAAGGTAAGGAATAATAATTTATTACCATTTTGCAGAAGAGAAAACTAGGTTTCAGAGGTTAAAAATCTTGGCCAGTAACCCTAGTAAAATGACAATCTTTAAGAAATTAAATTCACCTCTGTACAATAACTTAAGATATAATTGGGGGCCGGCCCAGTGGCATAGTGGTTAAGTTTGTGCACTCCGCTTCAGTGGCCTGGGGTACAAGGGTTCGGATCCCAGGTGTGAACTTACACACCGCTCAACAAGCCATGCTGTGGTGATGTCCCACATACAAAATAGAGGAAGACTGCCATGGATGTTAGCTCAGGGACAATCTCCCTCAAGCCAAAAAAAAAAAAAAGAGGAAGACTGGCAACAGATGTTAGCTCAGGGCCAATCTTCCTCACCAAAAAAATAAAAAATAAAGGGGCCAGCCCCAGGGTGTAGTGCTTAAGTTTGGCACGTTCTGCTTCAGCGGCCCAGGTTCATGGGTTCAGATCCCGGGCATGGCCCCACACCACTCGTGAGCCATGCTGTGGCAGCGTCCCATATACAAAGTAGAGGATGTTAGCTCAGGGCTAATCTTCCTCAGCAAAAATAAATAAATAAAAAAAATGGTTTTTAAAAAAAGATATAATGGGGCTGGCCTGGTGGCTTAGTGGTTAAGTGCACACGCTCCACTGGCGGCCTGGGTTCGGATCCTGGGCGCGCACCAACGCACCACTTCTCTGGCCATGCTGAGGCCGCATCCCACATACAGCAACTAGAAGGATGTGCAACTATGACATACAACTATCTACTGGGGCTTTGGGG